TGGCCTTGGCAGGAGTGGGCTTTGAACCCAGGCAAGCCTTCTTTGAATCCTAGCTCATCACCTTGTAGCTGTGTGACATTGGAGTTGACACTTAAGGTCTTAATTTTCTTATCTGTAAAGTGGGGATAACGATAGCACCTGCTTTACAGGGATGAAGCAAAATAAGGTCATTTATGAAGTGTCCCCCAAATATATGCTCACACAATTGTTCCTACCCTAACCACGATGATTTGCCCCTGAGATTGTCAGATCCCTAGGAAAAAAAAAAAAAGAGGGCTTTAGAGGCATGATAGACAGAATGCGGCAGAAGCCTCACCTGTGCGAACACAGGAAAATCACTAAGGCTGTGACAATGGAGAAAATCTGTTCCAATCTCCTCCTCCACTGCCCATCTTTGAATCCTTTTGCAAGTGGCTGTCTCTTCCAGCCTCCGTTTCCTTATCTGTAAAGTGGAAATGCCAACATCTGCTTTTTGGAGTTGTTACGATGATTAAATGAGATGATGCTTGTGAAGCGTCCAGTCCAGGAAGTGCTAGTAAATTACTACTCTATGGACCAGGGGGTTAACAGTGGCCCAGACACACCGCCTGCAGGGCAGATTTTAGATCTATGGCAGAAGAAACATTTTTTCCTACAGGGTGCTACAGGGAGACACCCTCATATGAATACATATATGAGCTGATGGGATCCCACCTGCCTGCCTGGATTGATTCAGGTGGGCCAGGTGGTGGTGGAAAGCAGCAGGGGCTCTTGCTGGCAGGGAACTGAGGAGTAAATGAGGGATGGAAGAAAAAGGAAAGGGGCTGGTGGAGGAAAGAGAACTTTTTTAAACTCAGTAAATAAATAAGTAATCACACAGTGATCACATTTCTATAGGCTAACTCCTGTAGACACTGTGGTGAACAAGATAGCTATGGTCCCAGCACCCCCAAAATGGAGCCTGGTGGGGGAGCAATTAAGGGGGGTGCTCTGGGAGGATCATTCAGTGGCCTTGTGCTGGCTGGAATGGAACAGAGAGGAAGTGAATTGGAGGTCTATGTGTGAAGAGTCTGCATGATCTGGCAAGAGGGGATGAAATCAGGCTGGTGGCCACCAAAGATGCTGGGCTGCATCCTGTCAGGAAGAGCCCTGTGAGTGCACCAGACAGATCCAGCTCCATCCTGTTCTACTTCTTACCAACTATTTGGCTATGGACGAGTTAGCTTTTGGGGTCTTCAGTTCCTTGCTCTGTACAATGAAACTAATGGTGCCTGCCTCCCGGGGTCATCGGTGAGTTTTAAATTAGGTGATACATAGAAATCTGGCCTCTCAATAAATGTTCTAGACATGGAGCTATTGTCAATATGAACATTAAGCAAAAGGTGAATCTAGGAGACAGTTGGAAGGAATAAATGTCAGAAATTGGGAAATACTCGAGTTGACACCTAAGTAACATTAATGTGTTTGAGCATCTTCTGTGGGTGTGAAAAAGGAGATTTAGATTGGGGTTGAGTGGGATTACCAAGTTATTTCAAGCAAGGCCATGCAGTTCTGTTAAGGAAAAAAAAAAAAAAGCACTTGAGATCAGTGTCTGGGTTAAAAGTTTCCACCTTTATTTTCTCCAGGATTCTCCCAGACAGCAGTTGGGCAGACTCCCAAAAGCCCAGAGTTAGACCAGGCATGGTCTTGCCCCACCTTCTGGTCAGGTCAAACTCTAGGAGAAAGATCCTGGATCAAAAATGGGATGTGGAGTGAAATGGCTGCTCAGTGACCATCTTTCCTTCTGTAAACAGAATAAAACCTCAATGAACACCTTACCTTGTTTTTCTTTTTAAGTGGCAGACTCGTTGTAAACATGGGGCCTACAGGATAAGACCCCAGGTAGGAACAAAGGAAATTACCTCACCAACTCTCTTGCCAGCAAAGAGCTGAAATTCTTGGAGAAGTCTTTGAGCCAAAACTCTCAGGGAGAATTCCCAGGAGACTTGCCCATCAGGCAGGAAAACGCAGGCAATATGGAATATGCAAAATGATGATAGAAAATCATCCAGCAAGCCTGCACCCAGCTATGTCTTAATGAGGCAAACTCCAAAGAAGCTTTCCCTTTAATCTGGCATTTGAAATGAAATGCTGCTAAGAAGCCCCCACCTCACCCGCCCCACCCTATGTGTTGCCATGACTACTCAAGTTCTTAGAACATGAAAGAACAACCTCAGCATTTCCCTCTAAAACAAAAGAAAATTATTCCAGGTTTCTGGGCAGAGAACATCAAGGAATGGGACCTGTTACCAGAGCAGGTTCTTCACAGTTGCTAGTGATGAAATCTGAGCCAGCCAGGACGGGCCTTCAGCAAAGCCCAGGAAGGAAACTGGGGATGACAGGACCCCAGCTCTTGTGCAGTTGCAGTCCGCAGAGCCCGCACTCTGCCGTCATTGCTGGTGCCCTCCCCTCAGCTGGACCTCATTTGCCCCTGCAATGAAACTTGTTAAAAGAAAACACATCCCCTGTCCATATGGGAAAGGGCAGGAGCTCCCAGGGGAGCAGGTCTGGGCTCAGTAGACCCCAGGTAGGAAGCAAAAGATGGTGGTTTCTCCTACTCTCTAGTTGGACTCACTCTTGGATAGTCAAAAATGAGGCTGACCTGTAGCACGAACAGGAAGTCCCTTCAAGCCCCCTGAAGCCTAGGGTCCTGCTAATGAGGGCTGATCCAAGAAAGCAAGGCCAAGGAGGCCACAGCTGGCCGCTTCCTCAGCACCCCTCAGCACTACTTCCCCTGCCCAAGCTTAAAGTCAAAACTCAAGAGTGTTGCCCTTGACCCTGAGCTGTCTTTCATTCTCCACACCCAAACCTTCATCATGTTTTGAGACTACTTCTAAAAATTCCTCAAATCCAGCCACTTCTTTCTCTCTCTCTCTCTCTCTCTCTCTCTCTCTCTCTCTCTCTCTCTTATCATGGTCTTGGTTAGGTCTCACTAGCTCTTGTTTGAAATGTTGCCCCCAGAAACATCTCCAAACTGGAGCTAGTGGTTCATTCTAAAACGCAATTCTGGTCCTGTCAATTGCTGCCTAAATATCCCTCAGTGGCTCCCATTTGCTCTGGGATGAATTTTCAAATTCCTTAGAAAGACATGTCCATGTCCATAAGGAACATCTCTCACCTCTGCTCCAGCCAGAAAGAGCACTTTCCCAGCATATACACTCTCCCATGCCTCCTGGACTTCCCAGCTTTTTAGAACATCTTCCCTAATCCGGCATGCTGGTATATTCTGTGTGCTCCTCCAGATCCATTTCCCCGCCTTCTTTGCCACAGAGGCTGCCCTATATAGATCTCATGAACAAGCTCCAGTGTTCTCTGGCTCCTGGTGGGTTTGACCAATGGGGACCATGATGATCAAGAGATTGGTAGATGGAAGAAAATGAGATCAGGGTATTTATTCCCTCCCTGTAAGTTTCCATCAGCCTGGATGATCCTTAGAGGAAAGATCATTCCTTCTATCAAGGTGACCTGCGCTACATGGCCCTTTCTCTTTCCAATAGCCCTCTCCCCGCCCACACCATTTCTTCTACACTACATGTGGTAATGGTTCTGCTGCTGTTAGCCATGGGCGTCTACCTTATCTTGTGATGTTCCCCTAGACCCTTTCCAAACACTTGCAAATTACCTCTTTGTACATAAAACCTCTTCAAATCATCCTAATATAAGTGCTCCTTGTTGGGACCCTGACAGATGTGCTCATCCTTTATCTTTTGCCAAATCATAGCCATTCTCTGGATCTAAACTTGCTTCCTCCAGGACATCTTCACTATTCTCCCAAATCTGGCTTAGCTGCCCCTCTCCTTGGGGATCCCAGAGCCTCTGTATATTCTTCTGTCACAGTTGCAAAAGTCAGTCACATGCCCTGAATCTGAGTCCCTGCATGGTGGGACCATGGGTTGTTACTCATCCTTACACCCTAGTATCTAGCACAAAGCAAGCCCTCAAAAAACATTTGCTAAGTGAAGAGACTAGAGCTCAGGGTGAGACCCTGCCACACAGCAGCAATTCCCAGTGGTTGTCTGTCACAGGAGGTGGCATCCCCGGACCAGGGTACAGGGAATAAGATAGAGCAAAGGGCCAAAGAGAGGCTATTGTTTAAATACCTCCACCTCCAGCGCTCGAGGGGGGGGGGGTGCTGCCTCCTGCTTCAACACCTTACTTCCTGGGAAAAAGGAAGGGACACCCTTTCTTAGCCAGGGGAGAGACAATGGAAATGTGCCCCCCTTTCCTTAAGCTGAGAGCCCTGTGAACCTGTCAACCCTGGGAAACTCACGTTGCTTTGCTGAAATAAATTACTACAAGTCTGAGGATTGTTCCAAAGGACCCAGTAGTACTTTTCTCTCTACAGTTCCAGATTATTCATTCACCAAGTTTTATGGAGGTCTGAAATTCTATCCAAAAGGGAAAAATCACTTTTTCCCCCTTCTAATCTGAGTTCCCAGTGGGCCCTGTAAGAAGGCTGGCAGAGCCAGATTGAGGACTTCCAGGCAGAAAGACCCTTAGGCTCCTGAACAAATCAGGGGAGATGGACATACACAGTGGGTGGAAGGCAGAATAGTGAACTGGTGAAGCAAGGGGGTCTAAAGTTCTGGCTCCTCCCTCATCTAGATATGTGACCTTGGGCAACTTACTGCCCATCTCTGAAACTCAGTTTCCTTCTGTGCAAGATGGTAGTCATAATAAGACCTCACTCATGGAACTGTCATGAACATCGTCTTTTGCCAAATCATAGCCATTCTCTGGATCTAAGCTTGCTTCATCCAGGAAATCTTCCCTATTCTCCCAAATCTGGCTTAGCTGCCCCTAAGAGGTGAAACGAAACACCCCTCAGGAAGCCAAGAGCAGTAGCCCCAGCCTGTCAGATGCTCCCTTTCACCTCACATCTCTTGTGATCACCTCTACTTTTCTGAAATGAAATGTATAAATAATAAAACTCACACATTCTTTTTTTATATACTTTATTTATTTATTTTTGTGTGGTGCTGAGGATTGAACCCAGGGCCTTGCACGTGCTAGGCAAGCGCTCTACCGCTGAGCCACAAACCCAGCCACAAAACTCACACATTCTTTTAAAAAATCTATATACTGGTTGGGCACAGTGGCACAAACCCGTAATATCCCAGACACTTAGAAATCTAAGGGAGTAGGATCGCAAGTTCAACGTCAAGCTGGGCAACTTGGAGAGATACTGCCTCAAAACAAAAAGGACTGGAGATGGCGCTCGGTGGTAGAGTGTCCTTGGGTTAAACCCCTAGTATTGGGGGTGGAAGGATCAATATACTATTCTGACTAAAGGATAAAGAACTAAAAAGAAAATAAAATAATATACATTTTCAATCCCAGCACTGCAAAAAATTCATAATATGCATTATAATCTATAAATGCTTGAACATAACTATACTAGAGGAGATAATGAAGTAGTTGGATGATTACACCTACTTATAATGAATACATTTGAATTTAAAGAAGTAAAGCAATATTTATTGGAACATTATAGGTACTTCTTTATATTTAATGTTTCTGAAACAAGACTAAATAAGTACTATATATTCATACAGATAGGTAGAATCACTATTCATCTTTGAAGGCAGAGGAATAAAGATGTGTTGTTTCAGCAACTCAAATACCATGAACATTTTGCTGTTGGTATTGTGGCTTTCTTAAATGGTGAACAACTCTGTTGTAGACAAAATGTAGTATTCTATTTATATGATGGTTGCATTCATGAAAAATTCAGTGCATATCAAAATTGTGCAAAAAGTATTTTGTGCAAAATGGAATTAGGTTCTAGGTTTGGACCAATATAAAGAGGTTTCTACCTACATGAACATCTGGGGGGCATACAAACACATATGGAATGCAGAACAAATCTTCATTGTATAAGACTGTCCCACCTGTAGTAGGAAGTCTGTCTCCCCTCTGCCTCCACCCAAGTAGTGCCCCCAACCATATAACAAACATGAATACATTTTCAGAATGCCTAGATGGTGCAGCACTGTCTCCACTGCTGGTCAGAAGTCCAGGAATCCTGGGGTTATCCGACAGGTAAGTATAAGGAACATAGGATGATGGCCATCCAACCTCCAGGAATGCAGACAGTCAGCATTAGGGAACTCTTCCAGCACATCTCACTCAGACCCCACGGTTCTGTAGTACTCTGCTACATTTTGTTTGGTTGCAATCAACAGGCAAAGGCCATTCTGATGGATTGCAGTGAGGTCTCTCTTGAAGAGGATAAAGAAGAAATCAGCACCAAAATACAGTTATGTTACATAGACTTCTGAGTGAAGAAAAAGTCTCAACAAACTAATAGACCCTTGAATTTTACTTCCCCTGGACAGTAATGGGGACCTCTTTGAAAAGAGTACTACCAGTACCTTTTGCAAATAACCCTTGGTTTGCCACCTATGGGTGTTTTGTAAATCAAAATCACAGAGTATTTCATAATGTTGAAATATTTGGCTTCTGAATTGAATGTATCTGAAGAAAAACCTTTTTTTTTTTTGGGGGGGGGGTGTATGTGTGGAGATAAACCATACTTCTGGCAAGAACAGTTAAGGCATCGAGCTGAGACATTCAACTCATGTGCACCTTCCTGTATGCAGTCAGCACAGCCATCTGACCAGCTAAACCTTATTTGAATCTGAAGTCTTATTTTACATAAAAAGGAGCAATTATTTCTAACATCCCATGAAAGGGCACATCTTCAGACAAGATACAAATTCAGATGGTGGCACAAGACAGGAGAGACTCTAGCCTCGTCAACTTCTTTATTTTTTTAAAAAAGTGGGTCCATCTGAGCTTTCAAGGAGGCAGTTGTCTCAGTTTCTTCTTGGAGGCTAGGCTGCCGGGATGGCACTGACCACCGCATACTGGACAGAGCTGAGCCCTCATGAGCAAGTCATATCTTGTAAGTGAGAATTTATAGGGTCCTGTTATTCTTTGTATCTTTCTTTTTTTCTCCCAATCTGTGATAAAGGCTGGTCTGAAGAATCCAGCCTGGTCTCAGCTTCCCTGTGTGTATGATGAAGGGTAGGGATGATGAGAAATCCAGAGGGAGAATTCTCAATCACCCCTCTCCACAAAGAGATTTTCCCTTCAGTGCTAAGTGTGGAGGAGTTGGCTTCAACTCTTTTGAAAAAGTAATAACTTTGCCTCACAGGATCTGGTGGAACCAGGGAGGCCATGGTCTTTGATGATCTAGGCAAGATACCTGGAAGGGGATCTCATGCCCATGGACTAAATTCACAGCCAGGTCATCAAAACTTGAGAATAAGTTCCTGTGGTTGTGGCTCAGTGGTAGAGTGCTTACCTAGTACATGTGAGGCATCAGGTTCAATCCTCAGCACTGCATAAAAATAAATATATAAAATAAAGGTATTCTGTTCATGTAAAAAAATTTTTTTTTGAACTTGAGAATAAGATAAAACTTATCCTGCAGCAGGGAGACCTGATGTGCATACTTACCCTGTATGGACTTCATGACTGTTTTGCCAGGAGACAAAGTGGTCCACCAGTAGTTGGTTCAAGTTAGCCTGCCTTTGGGATAGAGTGGCTCCATCTGTATACAAAGTGGATCCAGTGAAGCTGGGCACTAAGAAGGCTCGAAATCCATGCGTTTTGAGGGGACGAGACCAAGAGAAAAATAGACCAAATACACAATCAAATAAAATGCAAATAAAAAAAACAAAGCTATTTTTTCAAGGTTTGTTTCTCATAATGTCCTACTCTCCCTAGGAGTCAAAGTCATCCTGGTCCCAGAGAGCCCCTGGAGGTAGGAGGAACTACATCAGTGAGGGGACAGGGATGGCTCTATTTTTCCTTCCTTCCTTCCTTCCTTCCTTCCTTCCTTCCTTCCTTCCTTCCTTCCTTCCTTCCTTCCTTTTCAAAAAAGAGCAATTGAAATCATTTGCAAATACCAGAGGAATGCCCTCTTTTAGAGACATTAGTTAGAGCTGTTTGCTTTGTTTTCTTTCTTTTTCTTGGTGCTGGAGATTGAATCACTGAGCTACATCCCTCCTTTTTGTTTTTTTGCAACAAGGTCCTACTAAATTACCCAGGCTGGCCCAGATCTTGGGATCTTCCTGCCTCAGCCTCCCAAATCCCTGGGATTAAAGGTGCCCAGCTAGAGCTGCTTTCTTTATGAAGCACAACAGCAGCTTCAGCACCCCTGAACCTCCCCACCATCTGGTCTCCTTGGGGCAACCTCCTAGATTTGGGACACATTCTGGGAGAGAACCAGACTTCTCTTCAGTGAATCCAGATCTGTCAAAGCCGAGTGCACTCAACCACTGCTGAGAAGCAGTGCACATGAGAATCACACGTGGAGTTTTTAAACACATCCATGCCTGGGCCCCACTGCCAGAGAATCTGATGTAATTGGCCTGGGGTGGGACCTAGGCATGGATGTGCTTTAAAGGCTCTCCAGGTGATTCTAATGTGCAGCCACAGTTGAGAACTACTACGTTATACAACAGGAGAGGCCCTAGGGCTCTCACTCAGATCACAGTTACTCTTAATTTATATATACTTCTAACAATCCATTTGTCTGGTTTTCTAGCTGGTGTAAGATTAAATGCAGCATATTTAAGGGAGAAAAAGGCTGCTAATGAAAAGACACTAAAAGCAGCAAGACATAACACATGAGAGTCTGATCACAGGGGTAAAGATAGAAAACCTATAAAAAGCAAACACAGCATACAACCTCTCTCCCCACTCCAGCATATCCTCTTTACAGTAAGGCCTAAGGGGATCACTCCATGGAAAGGAAGGAGCCAGAAGGTGTGAAGGACAAGTGATATGTATTTACTGTCCCCGATGTGTAAGGCCTATGTTGACAGTTGCTAGAAACATTGCCTCAATGAATTCTCATCATAGCCCTATAAGTATTACTAACCCATTTTGCAGGTGAAGAAATGTAGACTCAGGGAGGATCACTGGCTTGCTCAAAGTTGCACCAACAGCGAGCTGCAAAGCTGCGATCTGAATGTCAAATGTAGGTCTATTTGACTTGAAAGACAATTTGATTCAAAAGTTCGTAGATGCCGGGCTCTGTGGAGCACTGTAATGCCTATAATCCTAGCAGCTTGGAAAGCTGAGGCAGAAGGATTGTGAGTTCAAAGCCAGCCTCGGCAAAAGTGAGGCACTTAGCAACTCAGGGAGACCCTGTCTCTAAATAAAATACAAAAAAAGGTTGGGGATATGGCTCAGTGGTCGAGTGCTCCTGAGATCAATTCTCAGTACCTCCGACTCCCAAAAATGTTCACGTGTTCAAAAGTGCCATATCTTGGGGCTGGGGATGTGGCTCAAGCGGTGGTAGCGTGCTCCCCTGGCATGCGTGTGGCCCGGGTTCGATCCTCAGCACCACATACAAACAAAGATGTTGTGTCTGCCGATAACTAAAAAAATAAATATTAAAAAAAAATTCTCTCTCTTAAAAAAAAAGTGCCATATCTGCCGATCTAGCATAATAATTGATTTCTTTTTTTGTACTGGGGATTGAACCCAGGAGTGTTCTACCATTGAGGTACATCCCCAGCCTTTTGTATATTTTGAGACATCGTACCATGAAATCACTGAGGCTGGACTTGAACCTGGTTATCTGCCTTCGTCAGCCTCCTGACTCACTGGAATTACTAGCATGCACCACCGTGTTTGGCTAATAACTGATATTTCTAATGATGGACCGATGTCTAGAGTTGGATTATCTTCAGTAGCCAGGTGTTCAAGATGTTCACTTTAGGAATAGTTACATAACATGTGTAAGTGTGCGCATGCATACGCATGCTTTTTACCAGAGATGAAAGAACTGGGTATCCATTTGAGAAGTAAATAAATAAATAAATAATACAAGTTATGTCCCAGCTTACACCATTCATCAAAATGAATACCAGATGGCTAAAGATGGAAATGAAACCATAAAGGTACTAGAAGAAAATAGAAGTGAATATTTTATAATCTTAGGATGGGGAAGGACTTTCTAAACATGTCAACAAAAGCAAAAACCATAGAAGAAAAGATTGATAGATTTGACTACATAAAAAATTAAAAACTTCTGTACATCAAAACCAGAATAAATTGAAAAAATATTCAACCTCACTAGCATTCAAAGAAAAGCAAATTAGAACAGCAATGAGAGACCTTCTTTTTTTTCTGATCAGATTGGCAATGATTAAAAAGAATGATAATACTGAGAGTTGGCATGGGTGAGGGGAAATCAGCACTCGCACATTGGTGGAGGGAGTGTAAATTGGTACAATCTTTCTGGAAGGCATTTTGGCATTATGTATAAAAAAAGCCTGTGAAAGCCCACACCTTTGACCTAGTAACTCCAGGTATAAAAGCACATCCAGAGGACAGAATTGACCCATCATAAACAGCATGTTTAAAATATATGCAAAGATTTCATTCACTGAGACCCTCTTTGGAATATTGAAGAATTAGAAGCAACTTAAATGTTTAACAAAAATTAGTCAAATAAATTACATGGTCCACATAAAAAATAATGTTATAAAAAACATGTTACCAAAAATAATGCTAAAAGACAAACCAATGGAATAGAACAGAAAGCCCAGAAACATTCCTAAATATATATATGAAAGCTGATCTGTGACAAATATCAAATCAGAGAGGCAAAGGCATATTTTTAAATAAAAGGTGTTTTGCTAACTGGAAAAAGAGACACTTTTTTCACACAATATTTCACACAGAACACCAGGAAAAACTTCAACTGGATTAAAGATACAAAACCATAAAATTACCAGAAGACTAATAGAACTCCTTTGTCTTATAGTAGTGAAGACCTTTCCAGTCATGAAATAAAAGACTGGCAAATATAGCTGCAAAAAACCTTCAAACCCCTGTAAGGCAAAAACACCATAAGCAAAGAGAAAAATACAAATGACTAACTGGAAAAAAAAATGCAACTCCTTTTCACAAAGGGCTAATCACCCCAATACATTATTTGTTCCTATAAACCAAGGAGACTAATAACCCAATAGAAAAAGTACCCATTAAAAAAATATATATATATAATTTTTTTCTCTTTTGCAGTACTGAGGATTGAACCTAGGACTGCTCTATCACTGAGCTCCATCGCAAGTCCTTTTATTTTTGTCTTTTATTTTGAGGCAGGGTTTTGCTAGGTTGCCAAAGCTGGCCTCAACTTGTGGTCCTCCTGCCTCAGCCTCCCAAGTAGCTGGAATTATAGGTGTGCCCCACCACAACCAGAATAAATAAATATTGCATATTTTTAAAGTAAAATTAATTTAATACATAATGATGCAGATTCATTTGTGTTGACACAAAGATGTATTTAGTAGGGCTTGGAGCTCAGTGGCAGAGGAATTATTCAGCACATGTGAAATTTGGGGTTTGATCCCCAACACCAGAGAGGAAAATGCACTTAGTGCCTAAAGTAAGTCACAGAATATATATGGAATAATTCCAAGTTTTTTTTTTTTTTTTTAATATTTATATGGTCCTACTCATTTGTATTGAAAAAAAAGGAAACTTTAGAAAAATACTCTATAAAATATTAATAGTGCTTATCTCTAGTTGGTAGAAGTGGGGTTAATTCATTTGAAATTTATTTTCTATGTTTTATAAGATGCTATTGTTAATTTCTATAATTACAAAACAAAAAGAAGAAAGTTACATTAGAAAAGCTTCAAGGAGGGGCTGGGGTTGTTGCTCAGTGGTAGATCGCTTGCATCACACATGTGAGGCACTGGGTTTGATCCCCAGCATCACATAAAAATAAATAAAGTAAATATATTTTTTAAAATTTTTAAATAAGAAAAGCTTCAAGGAATAATAACAACCCAGGAAAGATATTTGGCACATAACAAAGAATTTAGTAATCTTAATATTAAAGAGCTCTTACAAAAAAAAAAAAAGAAAGAAAGAAAAAGAAACATGCTGCAGAACCCAAATAGATAACAGAATAAATAAACGTTTATAATATATCACTAGAAGGCTATAAAAGGATAATATAAAGCTGTTTAAGGACAAGGATGGTAATTATATATTAAGGAAAATTATGTTAGCAAATAATGCTGTTATAACAAAAATATACCTATACCAGGACTGGGAATGTAGCTCATAGGTAGGGTACTTGCTTAGCATGTGTGAGATGCAGAGTTCAATACCTGGTACTGAAAAAAAAAGTAGATATATATATGTGTGTGTGTGTGTGTGTGTGTATACCTATACCAGATTTGTTGACTTTATGTACATATTTATGTACATAAATATATGCACAGAATAATATCTGTGAGGGTAGGTGCTAAAAGTCATACATATATGATTTGGTGATGGAACAATTACAAGCATTTAATTTTTTTCTTGTCTTAACATATTTTTCTGCAATAAATGTCTAACTATATAAAATTTTAAAAAATTGTTTATAATACTTCTTTGTGAAAAATTTAGTTACAAGTTCATCACATTGTATTAAATGATGGAAAACTAAAAACAAATTACATGTATAATAATAGGTATTAAAGATGACATAGGGATGTGGATAATTTCAATCACAATTACCTTGTAGAACAATATTTATTAGTGTGGCATATATATATATATATATATATATATATAAAACAGTGTATACAAAATGACTCCATTTAAAAAAACTAAAATGTATATGCTTAGAAAAATTTTGGGAGGAGACCACCAAAATATATGTTCACTGTGACTACCCCTGGGGTGGTGGAATTATAGATAAGCTTTTATGCATAATGTTTTTATTAGTGCATTATAGTTGTACATAATAGTGGGATTTATTTTGACATATTCATTAATGCATATAGCGTGGTTTGCTCCATTTCGATCCTATTTTTCTTTTTTCTTTTTGACAGAATTTTCTCAATTCTTGGGGCTGGGATTGTGGCTCAGCGGTAGAGCACTCGCCTAGCACGAGCAGGATCTGGGTTCAATACTCAGCATCACCTAAAAATAAAGGCATTGTGTTGTGTCCATCTACACCTAAAAAAAATAAATATTTTTTTAAAAAAGAATTTTCTCAATTCTCAACAATAAATAACCTCTTCTAAAATAAGAAAAAAATGAAGCACTATAGTTTTTGTTTGTTTGGTACCAGGAAGCGAATCCAGGGGAGCTTAATCACTGAGCCACATCCCCAGCCCTTTTTTATTTTTTATTTTGAGACAGGTTCTTGCTAAGTTGCTTAGGGCCTTGCCAAATTGCTGAGGCTGGCTTTGAACTTGCAATCCTCCTGCCTCAGCCTCCCAAACCACTGGGATTATAGGCATGCACCACCACATCCAGCTACTGTAGTATTTTTTAAGTGCTGTTTTAAAAAGATGCTTCAAGAAACATTGTAAACTATCTAAACATTTACTCATTCCAAAAGAGCTGAAAGAGTAAAGGATTCTGGCTGAGACGGGCTACTGTATCCTCAACTTAGATGCTCAGCCTCACTTTCATTCCCTTGAGTCTTTATGGACTACAGGGTGTCAGCCACCATGCTGGGTAGAATAAATATATTTATTTATGTTCCAGTATATGAAGGCCAGATGCTATAGAAGTATGGCTCCCCTTGTATCTTCAGTCCAGCCACTTGCCCTGTGGCAAGTAGGTTAACAGGCCTGGGTTGGAAGGTGAATGGTGAATGGCTAAGGCATAAACATTCTGTTAGGAACCATTTCTGGACTGGGGCCTCCCTCAGCTGCTTCTGCTACAGCCTGCTCAGCCATCCTTGTCTTACTGCTGAGGCTGTATAAAGGAAGGAGCAGTTGTAAAGGTGGGGGGTCTCTCAGATGGCCCCCTCAAAAGGGCAGGGCAGAGGTGGGCCCTGATGCCCAAGAAAGCCCTCAGATTTTTTACATCTTTTGAATTTACTGCAACAGCTTCCAGTCTGGCCTTCTGCCCTCAGACCCTGCCCTGTACAAACCATCTTCCAAGCCACTGCCATTCTTCTTGAAATACAGCTAATTAGTTCATTCCTAGGATCAAAACATGACATCAAAATCTTTTCAAAACTTCTCAAAGTTTACCACTGAAGTACATCAACAACTGACAAAAGA